TAAAATTTCAGCCTTCTAGCATTTCAGGTTTTCGAGTTAGCAACTTACCCGCAAAAAACTTCCACAAGCCCGTACATGGGAACCACGGAGGCCGGGTTTGAACTCATTAGGGCCTATTTGGACGGGGAACGTCCCCTCAAAATCCTAGCTTTTCAATTTCCCAACTTAGCAAATTACTTGCGGAAAACTTTCACGAGTCGTATGTGGGAACCACGCAAGCCCAAGTAGGTTTGAACTCACTGAGACCTATGTTAAATAGCAATAAAAACTGGGAAATAATACACGCACGCCACTTTACTCCCTCACAATGCCGGCCAATAAGCCACATCCGGCCTTTAGGCCGGAGACTCTTCTGCATCCGCGATAGGTAGTCAAGGCCCCATTAGTGGATAATCTTGCTAAAGCACAGTTATGCTATAACAATGTATGCTATAGCAATCCGCGTATGTCCTTTAAATATGTAGATCTGAGGGGTATATTACGAATGCGTGTTTGTATATACGCAGTGTTACGATCTCGGAGACAGGAGACGGTAAAGAGGCCGTAATCTGCGCCTCGGTCGGTAGATCGTCTCCTAGAATATTAGGTTCGACTGTGGGCTATTCCGGTTAGAATCGAGATTCGTTCGTTCCGGCTAGAATCGAGAATTGTTCTGTTGGTTCATGCAAGAATCGAGGATTGTCCCCGTTGGTTCATGCTAGAATCGAGAATTGTTTCGCCAGTTCATTGTTCCTCGTCCGTTTGTTCCGTACTGGAAATATGAACCAAATTCGGTATTTCCATGCTGCAGTATTTCTACTGTGCCAGGGGTCCTCCTGCATACCGGAAGGAGCCAAAGCACGGCCAGCATGAGCCCAAGTGTTAGGCTACAACGCAAGGATCATTCTTGCTAATAGCGATCTGCGGGTTTAGTGCAAAAACGTATGATCGCACAGGAGAGTCTGGTGCGTTCCAGCCTGGGTTGACTATAACCCGCGCTTTTCCAATAACTGACGACCCAAACAATCTCTCCAGGAGATCATCGTACTCGTCAGATCTCAGGCCGAGAGCAGCACGGAAATCGGTCATCGTTACATTCAAATGTTATCCGCACATACCAACGACCACCGGCACAAATATCACTTCCTGCTTGTACTGAGTTCGCAGATCTGAAACAAGATTAAGCCCAGGGGGATAACTTGCCCGGGTCTGG